TTTGGGAGTTGAATTTTTTTTTTACATTAATTACATTTCTCACTGAACCAGCTTTCTGCTGAGGAGCTAATTAGATGGCCATGCCAGATAACATGCAACTCAGAAACAGTTGCAGACTACAGTTACCCCACCCACCCAAGGACAGCTAACGCCAACAAGGGGTCATCCAGGGAAGGAGACACAGTAAAGGAAGATAATATTTACCTAATCTGTTAAAAAGTAAAAGCTAATCAAATAAATTGTGATATTAAGACTTATGTGACATCAGGGAAAAGAATATATGACTCAGGATACCACAATTCACCAACCTTCATCTTATTATGGAGACTGACTGAGCCACTTTAAGTGACTTTGCCAATTCCAAAAGCATATGAAATTTGCCGTATCTACAGGAGATTGATCAGAGGCTAATCAGATAGTAGAGCCGAGTGTTTCGTTTATGACTCCGAAATGTTTATCAATAGCTGCAATAGAAACCATCAATATCTTAGTTGATATTTGCTAGTGTTTGTCCAACACCTCAGCTTTAAAACTGGTATGATTCTTCTGACCTTGAGGATGAAGATGAGCTTTTGATTTTGGCATTGATGATGTTTCTGAAGCTGAAGGATTTGGGCATTGATCAAGAATGATTTTGATTTGCTTTGTCATCATCTACTGGGCATCAATGGGAAGACAGTAACTGAATATAAGAGTCACGGAGGGAAATCATTAAGCACAAGTATCTGGAAAAATTTAGGTTCAGCTGAATCCATTTGAAATCAGTTTTTCATCATTGATCTTCAAAAACATTTGAAGATCGATTTTAGATGGGACCATTATTCTGTTGTAAGAATTCTCATAAGAACCAATGGTTGTGCAAAATGAAACAAGGTATTAGTATTAAAATTGGATCACCTATTATAGTACTTATATTTGGTCATTTGGTATAGAAGAATTTCAAATTAAAACTATATGCTCAATTATTTCTGGCAACTAAATGTTATATAAGTATATCTGAGAATTAAAAAATATTTTAAATTATCTCTATATCAGGTAGAAATTTTTCTAAAATTTTTGCTGTGAGATATATTTCCTCATTTGAACTATACCAAGCATTACTTAGTCATATAGTTTAGCTCAGGCAGCTTAAACTGTTTACCGATTAATTTCTTATATTTTTCAAGGTCCAGCCAAGATGTAATGTTGTTACTTAAGCAACTAATCAATGATAAGGAGAACATTAAGATATCATGAACAAAAGTTACTACAAGAAGCAGCTACCACTTCCAAAGAACCTTGAACGGAAGACTGTGGAACTGAACTTCGCTTGTCTGAGAAGATGGTACTGCTGGGTTAGTATTGGAGCGGGAGAATGGAGAGCTTGTAGCATCCAGACCACTAAGAAGACAGTGCCTACGAGCAGGGGCTAGTTTCTCTAATGAATGCATGATGAATCTGTGTCTGCGATGGCTCTTCTATCCATAATCTTGGTGACTTTGTGAGCAGGTTTTCCATTCTGCTGGGTATAGAAATATGCTATCTCAAAAGCCAAATAGGAGGAGTTCCTTGACCATCATAAGAGAGGCTTCTCCAGTCAGCACATGTAAAATCCCTGCCAAAAGGGGCAGAGGCAGTAGAGGCACTCCAGAGGCGGACCGTCGCACTGAGCTCATGGACAGAGCATTGGTTTTCCCAGCCCACAGAAGTAAAGAAGAGCGTCTTTAGGCAGCAGGCTGGCTTGTCACCAGGGCATTCTTTGAGCTTTATCGGAGCTTTGTAACACTTGCCCAACAAGGCAGAGGCCACAATGCAGCATGACTGAGATGCTGAGGATCAGAGATAGATGCCCCAGCTGGTATGGCTGAGAACAGGCACTGCTGTAGACAGAAGGACTGTATCCTTAATGTTTTCTGATCTTGGCTTGCGGTCACCTGTAAATTCCCCTAATGAGTCCCAAAAGGCTTCCCTATTAAAGCCCCCTAATCATGAATATTGTGAGTTGCCTATGGATATTTCAAAGGATTGCCAAAGCTAGCAGAAAAACAGTGTCGTGGGAGGGCTGCTTTGTGTCATAATGGAGGAAAGAAGGATAGAGGCATGTCTGACCTCTGCCCCATAGGAGTCCCTCTGGGACAGATGTGGATTCTCCTTGAGGGGTCACCCATGGCCCCACGCCATTTCTTTAACAATAAAGTTCAATGACTGTGATGAAAAGGCACTTATCCTAAAATATTGATGGGCCCACCCTCACCAGAACTATCAGTCCACATCATAAGCAGACAAGGGAAAATATGCCCTTTCTTTGTACATCTCCAATTTTGCAGTTTCCTGCGAGATATATCTACCAGGAGAACTCAACAGTAAGTGAGTTAGCAAAGCAGAAATGCTCTTTGCAGAGCCCCAGCTTCAGCAACACAAAAACACACTATGGAAGGGTGATTTGAGTGGTGAGAGACAGTACTTTAATAAAGTGCTACATGGCCTCAGGAGATAATCAAATTATGTTTAAGATTTAAGCAAAGCCTTTCATAATTTTTTCCCAGAAAAAGAAAAACGATCAACTTTTCACTAACACCTTTTTTCTCTCTCTATTTTAAATATGTTACTCATGATTCCAGAAAAGAATGGAAATAGTTTGCTAGGGAATCACTTTTACATTTGTCCAACTTAAAAGTGAGTCTTTCTCTTACAAGATAAATCACAGTGGCTCTCTAACCACTGTTTTCTTGAGTTTTCAGGAATCTTCATCATTTGTATTTCAGGAATGGGGCATGGTCTCAGTGATCAAAATGACCAGTCTGACTGATTTTAAACAGTCCCTGCAACTCCCGGGATATTGTGTAGCAGTGAAATTCACCTCTTTGCATCCTATTTGTACACATAGCAGGATGTAGCAATCCAACAATACTTAGACACAATATGAATTAAGATAGTGCAAACAAAATGAATCTGTCTGGTTTTTATTGCTACCTCTATATGATATTTGTATAGAAAATCTGCATTTATTCTTATAATTTGTGGATTTCCCCAAAATAGTTAAGGAGGGGGGGCATAATGTGCCCAAATGAAGCACAAAGCACACAGTTATTTTCATCATTTTCAGGTGGATTAAAAATGTAGTTCCACAGCATGAGGAGCGGGCATGACTGAATACAGGAGAACTGAAACCTTCACTATTCAACGTATCTTTTTTTCCATTTTGCTTAAAACAATTTTCAAATGAAGCCACTCTAATCTTATTAGACAGACTTTACCTTGACACCTCCATTTCAAAGGAAATTACTATAGAAACATAAAGACAGAATTAATAATAGATTTTTTTCAGAGACCACTTAAGTAACTCCCTATTAAATAATCACAACTAACAGGGTTTTGGTTTTGTTTGTTATAATGTTTACCAGTTGTGGTATTAAGGGAGGAAAGACATTTAATCAAAGATTAAATTTCAAAAGATTTTGAAAAATTCTTTCAAAATTGAAGTTCAATAATGTTGAAATTACTCTTACCTGTTAACATCCCAGATTTTACTTGTTGTATCCAGGGAGGATGAAGCCACAAAATCACCGCAGGAGTGCCATGTGCAGGACCACACAGCATGGTTGTGCCCTTCTAAGGTCAAAATGCAATCTCCTTTAAATAGGTTCCATAATTTAACTGTAGTGTCTCCACTCGCAGTAGCCAACTTGTTTCCACTATTTAAAAGACCACACACAAAAAAACTTTTGTTGAAAATTGTTATGACTGACTCCTATAATTATTCTGTGTGATTTTTACTTTTACTGACATACCTAAATGCATAAGTATTCTATTTATTTAAATATTCTATAAAATATTATTCTTATTTATATCTACTATGGACAATTGGTTACTTACTTGGATTGTTTAACAATTCAACATGATGGGAAATATTGCTGTGTGCAACTTCCACAACAGTTCATTATTTAAGTATCCCTAGCATAAACTGTGAGCAATTCATCAGAAAAGCTGGACGACATGAAGTAGAATGACGCATCAGCTTTGGAGAAAGGCTTGTTAACAAAACGTTGAAAGTGAAGAGGACTTGAAGCACTTGCTGATGAAGATCAAGGATTGCAGTCTTCAGTATGGATTATGACTCAATGTAAAGAAAACCCAAACCCTCACAACTGGGCCATTAAATGACATTATGGTAAGTGGAGCGAGGAGAGAAGCTGCCAAGTATTTCATTTTCTTGGGATCCATAATCAATGCGCATAGAAGCAGCAGTCAAGAGATCCAATGACACTTAGCATTGGGTAAATCTGCTGCACAAGTTCTCTTTAAAGAGTTGAAAAGCAAGCAGTTACTTTCGGGACCCAAGCCATGGGGTTTTCAATTACCTCACGTGTATGTAAAGACGGACACTGAATAAGGAAGAATGGAGACGTGGTGATAGGTTTGAATTACAGTGATAGAGAAGCATACAGAAAGGCCCATGGACTGAAGAAAGAAAAAACAAACCTGGTGTTTCAGATAATTCTTTGTATAAGTACTCTAAAGATAAAACCGACATTCATTGCAGCATTGCATGTAGTAGACAAAATTGGAAACGTTTAACCAAAATTAATATCAGCATGGATAAATGAAATATTTTTAAGTCATTCGATGAAGATTACAGGGCAGTGAAAGTTAATTAACTACAACTTATATACCACCTTATAGAAAAACTATAATAACACTGTGTTGAGGGAAAAATACAGTCCAGGTAACCATATACATTGTGATATATTTTAATAGAGTAAAAATCATATGTATGTCAAATATGTATGTGTATATTTTCATATGTACATAGATGCATATCTATGGAATAAGATCATCTTTAGAAGCACTAGGTAATTCATAATGTTCAGATTGAGTCATTATCGCTAAGTGCTAAGTAGAAAAATAGATTAAAAAAGAATAAATACTGTAGTTATTTTCTCTCATATAAATAATTACAACTATTGATTAGCTATTACTGTGTGACAAACTACTCCAAATGACAATGGCCTAAAACAACAATTAGGTTTCCCTTGCTCATGGTTTACTTCAAGTGCATGACTCAACTCCAAACTCCAGAAGGTAGGGAGACTCTGCTTCTACGGGCTGGTCTGCTTTAGCCACTCTGTCCCACACAAGGGCCTTGTGGGCCAGATCAGAAGATACAGCACTTTCACAAGAGCAACTTTTCTTGGGGTGTTGTGAGAATATGTGAACACAAGCTGCTTCACAAGATTACATGTCGAACCATTGCTCGAAAGAAACGGGAAAGCACGGATTTCTCAAGATAATGAGGAGCTGGCTTAACTAATTTTTAAAATAGGATTTTACTGTTTTTAGTGAAGGTTTACAGAACAAACAAGGCTCCCATTTAGCAATAACTCCATAAGTCACTCAGGGATATTAGTTACATTTGTCACAATATGTCAACATTCTCATTAATTGCACTTGTTTCATTTCCAGTAGTCTAGTTTTCCTAGGAAAAAAATCCCTATTTTAACAGTAATGTAATGTGCCAAACTATGGTGGATTGCTAAGATATTTATTTTTATTATTTATAACTCATATTTTATCTCATGTAACAATTTTTTATAGTAAAGTCAAACAGAATAATCTGACAAAAAACACATAGAAACCATTTTTATATAGAAAAACTAAAGATGTTGTTTTTCATAGTTTAAACAGGACATGTTTAATGAGCTAAAATCCAAAATATTTTAATGAACCTTATGTAACAAAAAAAGAACACAAAATTAATGCTAATTGTAAGATAGGTCTATATTATAATCTCATAAAAACGATCACACATTGTCAGATAAAGACAATGTATAGATTAATTTAGATCAAGCATTAAAGCTGTCAGCAATTAATCATAATTTTATCTGCCTATGAGATTCAAAACAGGATGCTGCAAATTGATTATACATTCCTCTGCTGCTAACTGCAAGCCAGCAGTTCAAAATCACAGTTGGTCCACAGGAGATGAGACTCTCTCCTCCCATCCCAGCTTCAGTCCGCACCCGAGCGTTCCTATGGCAACCCTGCCTGAGCCCGGGCCATCCTCACACTGTGCCCAGGCTTGAGCCCATCACCATGAGCACGTGCAGTCTCGCAAATCCACATAAGTACTTCATTCTGTCCTGAAGGGTCACGGTGAACCAAAATTGACTGATGTCAGTTGAGAAGAAAAAAGTCCTACGTGCATATTCACATTTCATCCATTTCTCCGTGGTCCCTTCAGGAGCCACCTTTCCCATCTCTACTTCCCATGCAGTACACTTCTTTTCTAATAAGGCTTTACACCCTAAGCCGCAGTTTTCGAATTTTTTTATATATCTTACATATAGCCCACAAATAATAATATAAAGTTAGGGTCAAGCCAATTTATACTTTGCAGCAAATAAGCATTAATTATCCATTATTTAAAGAAATACGTTGTATTTCCTATAATTACTTTTTTTCACATTTTGATTACTTTTAATGAAACTGTTTGACAATTCCCAGACTAGCATATACATAAAACATATTAAAATTTGTTGCTATTAAAAATGGCTTTAATATTTCGAACTAAATATATTACTGACTCTGGATTGACATTCATTACTTTTTTCAGAAATGTGCTCCTTTTTTCCTTGAGAAAGTGGTGGAAGAGAAAGACCCAAGCTTCTTGCATCTCAAAATAGGAATTAAAAATGAAAAGAAGTAAAATTTGGTTAACTCCTCATTCTGGATCTGCTAATCAACCCGCATGAATTGGAGAGAGCATCTAACATTTACATTTAATATCTCTGAAACTTATTGCCCAGATATGAAAATATGGATAAAAATTCCACTAGTTATATCTCAAAGCTTGTTTTAAATATTTAATAAGATAATTATTACACAAGTACAGTTTAAATTCTTGGAATTACTCAAATATAGGATTACTTTTTGTTTTGTTGTTTTAACTGTATCCTATGCTTGTTCGGTGCCATTAAGACAGGTCTGACTCATAGCGACTACTAGGTCTTCGTTATCTAGGCCTGGGGTGATCGTGACTTTTAGCATAGCAAGATGGTGGCATGGAACCTGTTGATAAAGTGTTTCTGTAAGTACTTGATTTAGGCAGAAAGTGGAGCCTAACAGACATATTCATTATCTGCATATAACATTCATAACAAATAGGAAAAAAATAGGCAAGGGGAAAGTTCTCTCAAATTCTAGAGGGTTAGGAGAAAAGTAAAAAATAAGAGAATTATCAAACTATTGATTGTTAATAGCAATGAGTGCTATAGAAAAACAAAGTCAGTTCCTGGGGTGAGGACCAGGTAGTATGGCAGGGGTCAGACCAAATCCAGGGGTACATATGGTAGCCAACTAAAAAGGAGGTAGGAAAATGGGAAAAAAAGAAAAGAAATGGGCAGCGGGGGCACAGGGCACTAAACCACCTAAGGGGAGGGCATTGTGTATATCTCCACAAGGAAAGAGGGACCAGACTTCAACCCAGTGCTCCAAGATGTGAATATAACATGCTGGCATGGAGTAGGGAACCAGTGGAGAGGTCTGAGGGGCCGGCTCCAATTCCAACTACGTGGACACCTGCATCCTCACCCCAGCAGAATTTATTTCACAGGACAGTACTGAAGCTGCAGTTCATGGAGAGGGACATGTCTGATCAGAGCACACAGGAGCAAATGAAGGGGGAGGAAGAGAGAGTGGGGCACAAACTGACCCACCAACCCTGGAGGATGATATTCCCGCTCAGAGCAGCCAATCCACAGAGAAGACAATATGGCCGGCCCCACTATGAGACATGACATCCCTCACTGACCCAGAGCCCTGCAGGGGACAACACTGGAAACACAGCATGGGAATTCTGCCCGATCTGATCCCACCACACCAAGGCAAATCCCTAAGGGCATGCAACAGAACAGGAAGGGGAACAGAGCAACGAAATCCCCAGGGAATGCCAAAAATAGACTTTGGGGCCAGGGCTTCGCGCCCCATCAGACTAGACCAGACAATACTACTAAAGGCCAACAAACAGTCCTTGAACTAACTACAAGCTTTTCTTTTTTGTTGTTTTTTGTTTTGTTATTGGCTTTTTATTGTCGTTGTTTTGTTTTGATTTCTTTTGTTACTTTATTTTGCTCTGTCTTGTTTTTGTGCATGTTATTATCTCCGCAGGTATGCCTAAATAAAATAGGCTGGATGAACAATCTGGAGGAGAAAACAACGGGACTGACAGTTCCAGGAGGGACATGGGAGAGGGGGAGGTAGGGGGAAAGGAAGCGGTGTCATCAAACCCAGGGACAAGGGAACAACAAGTGATCCAAATCGGTGGTGAGGAAGGTGTAGAAGGCCTGGTAGAGCGTGACCACGGGTAATCTAACTGAGACGAAATACTGAAACCCAAATGAAGGCTGAGCATGATAGTGGGACAAGAGGAAAGTCAAAGGAAATAGAGGAAAGAGCTAGGAGGCAAAGGGCATT